GGTACCGGAGAAAAACCAAAAAAAAAAAAAAAAAAAAATTCATTATTGCTCTTCCTCCAAACTGTCTCTCCGTATTGAATTTGCAGTTTTTATTACAGCTACCATTACTCCATAAATTATGTAACTTGAGATGTCAAGTATTTATGTATTTATGATATATATATATAATCTAGCATGAAAGGTTTATGAAATCAATAATGTCCTACACCGCAAAAAAAATAGTGTGAACATTTAATTAGGAAAAAGTTTTATCAGGAGCACTACTTCGTACTGTATTGAAAATCATAAGGTTAGGAAAGCTGGTCTCTGACACAACTACTAATATCACTTCCATAGCAGTGATTCCTCATTATTTTTTCTGACCCAACAGACTTTGAGAAAACATTTTCCAACTCATAATGGCTCACTAAGTTCATAATTCTCATGCAAAGAGACTAGAAAAATCAAATAGAGAGTGCCTTAAAATCCCTGGGATTGTGGTATTACAGACTGTACTTTCTCTATTGAAAATACTGCTTTATTCTACTCACAGCAATGAAAAGTTGTCTTGTTATAAAGACTTGTGAGTGGATAACCAAATGGATTCATAATAACTAAAGATTCATAAGTCACCAGTGAGTTATAAGTATTCCACATAGCGGTTAAAATTAAAGCTGTATCTTTCAGTTATGGATTGTAAACATAAATGTATTCAAATCCGATGTCTTTGAGATTGATTACAATGAATTGTGAGGCACATGGCAACAAACTAACACGAATGAAGATAAGGGTCAGAAATTGGGCACCACTGGAGGAGGCTTGGAGGCTTGTATTTGGACTCGTTTACTGAATCATTTCTACTAAGTAGACAGTAAAGTAATTCAGAGAGCCCTAATTATTGCACACTCAGTGACTCCAGTAGCATTAAAACAGCTGGCTCAAAGGAACACAAAATTTGGGTTTTCTATTAGTTAATCTTACACTACATCTAAAGTCATTTGAGTTATATTTGCATATAACCTGGTTTATAATAAACTCCTATGAGACAGATGGTGCTGATGCTGTAATAGTTGGGCTTTCATGTATTTCTAATAGTTTGACAGCAGAATGATTGTTCTAAAGTGCAGTAAAAGAGTTGTATGTCAACTAGTGGTCAGATATATCAAGAAAAAGGAAATTCCTATCACAATTGAAGCTAAAACTCTTCAAATGAGAATCATATTTTTTAAATGGGTGTTATTCACTAGATAAATAATGTTGTAATCTACTTTTCAGCAACATCTAACTCAACACATTCTGTCCTTTTGGAAAACTCAGTTTTGTGTAGATACAGAATATATACCAGCAAATAATTTTTTGTAATGCGTGAGATTAATGTGTCTGACTGGAGACTATTTCCTCAATTCACTTGACGCATTGAGCAGGCAGGGACATGACAGAAAGCTTTGGCTGCAGTAGGTGTAGGAATTTGTGAAGAATCACACAGATGATCCTGGGGAACTGTGCAGCTCTTCCATATGTTTAGCAATGATAAGCAAACGTGTCAATAGCTTTACATTTTCTATGTAGCAGTGATTTTTAAATTATGTATTTGCAATACTAATACTCCCCATTCATCCTAAGGAGTTGGTATACCTACATACCACATCTTAATCCTTTTTACTTTCCTTTCCTTCCCTCCCTCCTCCCTCAATTCCTCCTCCCTCAATTCCTCCCCCCTCTATCCCCAGCTCCCTTGTTTCCTCTTTTAATATCTAAAAGATAATGGATATTATCTATCTTTTATTCACCCTTTAAATTATTTATACTTTAGATTTCTCATATGAGAGAAACTGCTATATTTAAACTTCTGTGTCTGATTTATGTTATTTTCAAGGTACATCCATTCTCCTATAAATGACTCAAATTTGTCCTTTATGGCAGAGTAGTACTCCATTGTGTGTAAATACATTTTCTTTATCCATTCATCTGTTTATGGACATATAGGCTACTTCTAAGGTTCAGCTATTATTAATTGTGCTACTATAAACATGAGTATGCATATATCTCTGTAATATGTCTTTAACTCTTTTAGGAAGATCCTGGAAGGGAAAAAATTGGGAAAGATGGTATTTCTATATACCAATAAATAAGATACAAAGGACAAATATTTTAATAAAAATGTGCTATGGGAATGCCAAAGATATAAGGATGCAGAAGGCTTCAGGAAATCAACAAATCTTCATAGTCAGGGATAGCTTCCGCCTGTATCTCGAAGGATGAGTAGGCCATCACTGGATAAACAAGGCAAAAGAAGCAAATGAACAGAGTACAGTGAGTGGAAAAAGTGTGAGAGGTAGCAAAGATAATGGGACCCCTACGAGTAAGCCAAATTACCGGAGCAGAGGGTATCTTGATTTAAAAAGGCGCTATTATGAAAGACCTTGTGCTTCATGGTCCAACGTGTTGTTGGTCTCCAGTATTTAGTGTTCAATGAAAAAATGAAAGAAGACAAAAACAGTGAGAATCTACCCTAGTGTTTTGTTTTGCTTTTGGTTTTCTTTCCTGTAGCAGGAATCAAACTCACGACCTTGCACTTGCCATGCAGGCGCTGTCCTGCTGAGCTACATCCCCAGCTCCTTACCCAAGTGTTTTTAAGCAAGGAGCAACTTTATTAAGTTGCATTTTAAATGAGTCAGATACAAAATATAATAGAAACTAGGGAACTACTTTTGAGATCTCTGTAAGAGGGTTTTCAATGATGCTGGGAATTACAGGTTTAACTCGCTAATGTTTAGGTCAGATTTTTGCCGTGTGTGTGTGTGTGTGTGTGTGTGTGTGTGTGTGTGTGTGTGTGTGTGTGACGAGAGGAACATAATTTGATGCTCGGTACACTGAGGATAAATTGTACTTACAAACCAGCAGACTGAAGTCTGATGAATGGTTTTTTTCTTTTGGCTTACTTTTTTTAAAGGTACAACACATAAAATTAATGAGATGGTAATTTCACATAAATATTCCTGTCTTTGTGTTTGCTGGAGATGTTCTTTTGTCTTCTTATCAGACTTTCTGGTCACAAAGCTGCTTTCATTGTGTTTCCTCCCCTGATGGCGCCCGCATCTTCTCCCTCCAGCCTCCCGGCTGTGGGTCCTCCTTCTTCTTCCCACTCCCGCTTCCATCAGCTTCCGGAAAGGCGGGTCAGGTCGGATGTCAGAGCGAGAAGCTTTCCTGTGTCATTCAGCTCACCTTCTTAGTACATGGAAACTAAACAATAGTTACGATTTTGTCTTTTAAAAATCCAGTTGGAAGGCTGGGGATTTAGCTCAGCGGCACAGCGCCTGCCTGGCGAGCGCAAGGTTGTGAGTTCGATTCCCAGTACCAGGAAAAAAAAAGAAAAAAGAAAAGAAAAACAAAATCCAGTTGGAGTAGGGGACAGCTCAGTGGTAGAGCACTTGTCTTACATGAGCAAGGACCTGGGTTTCATCCCCGGTGCCACAAAAAGACAAAGACAAACAAATCCAAACGGAGTCCTATTTCATTATTGAAAGTTTGTGTAGTAAGGAAGCAAATCTAGACATATTATAAAGGCAAGGCTGTAATTTTGAATTTTCAATTCCCAATTTCTGTTTCAAACTGTTTTCATTTTGATAATACATCTGAACCTCCTTTCTAGGTTACTGATTGTTAAAACTGAATTATAGACCATTTGACTTCCCGTATCTACAGTTGCGGATTCAGTGGGACCCACACTGCTGGAAGAACCACGGGGTCTCTCCATTAGGAAAGAAGGATGAGGCGGAGACTCCCTGTCTTGCTTTGATTTCTGGGAAGAGGCTGGTCTTTTTTGTTTTGTTTTGTTTTTTTGTTTTATTTGTTTTTTCTCCGGTACCGGGAACCGAACTCACGACCTTGCGCTTGCCAGGCAGGCGCTTTTTTGCCGCTGAGCTAAATCCCCAGCCCCAAGAGGCTGGTCTTTGTGGGCCCTCGCTAAGGGTATAATAGGCAAGAGTGGAATTCTCAGCACCCCAGCAGGAACAACCAGGCTTCCTCCTGACATTCCTCTGTTATTATTCCTGCACTGAACTGGGCCAAATGCAGCTTCCGAAGGACTACGGTATTTCCCCCATGCAACTCCTGAGTGTGTTTTGATAGTGTCGCTCTGTGTATCCTACTAAGATGTGGGAACCACGTGTATGGTCAGTGATCCACAGTTCAGAGTGTGCAAGAGAACAAAATATGAGTTTAAAAATTTACAATGTTGTCTGATACTTTTGCCAAATACCCATTGGTACCCATGTACTAAAAATGCCTACTGACAAAAAGTAAAAAAGTCCTGATCCCATAACTGCTGTTTATATTTAGTGAACCATTTTTTTTTATTTATTTATTTTTGGTCTTTGAGACAGGGTCTCACTATGCAGTTCAGGCTGGCCTTGAGCTCACTTTGTAGCCCAGGCTGGTCTTGAACTTGCAACAATCTTCCTGCCTCAGCCTCCCTAGTGCTGAGATTACAGGCATGCACCACCACGTCCAGCTTTAGTGAAGCATTAAAATGGATATGAGGTAAGGAAAACCATTTTGTTTTATTTTTAAATTTAAACAAAGCTTGGTCCTGAAATATTAATGAACAGAATCAGTACTAATAAAAATATCCTATGAAGTAAATTTTAATGAAGTAGAATTTATTCAAGTCATATCTTTGAGAAATAAATACAGTATCTCTACCACTATCTCTACACCTGTTTCTTTCATCTCCAGGTGATGTTAATCTTCTGTTTATTTTGCTACTTGATATCTAAGTATGTGTAGTTTACTTAGAGATTACCTTCTAAACATTGGTCTATGCCTGTCCTTTCTTAGTTCACAAAAAGAAGAGGAAAACAATGTGTACGTGTGCGTGTGTGTGTGTGTGTGTGTGTGTGTGTGTGTGTGTGTGTCTTGTTTGTTGGCAATGTTGGTGGTTATAAAGCAAGTAGGAACTTCCTCTTTGCACGGTTGCCTTTGCCTCTCACACCAGAGAGATTTCATTTTGTTTGGGACAGGATACAGTTGAAACCAAACCACACACCCGGAGGGTATGATGGCTAAGAAGCCCCCGAAACCAGCCCCTCGAAGGATCTTCCAAGAAAGATTAAAGATGACTGCTCTACCTTTGTACTTTGAAGGCTTTTTATTAGTCAAGCGATCAGAATACCACGTAAGTCTATAGGTGAAAATATTAAATCTGAAACTCGGTCTTGTATAACTTATCTTATGATGATATGATACAGTGAAGCTTCTTTTTTCTCTATTTGAATTAGACCCCTTTCTTTCTTTGAGGTCAGAAAAAAATCTAATTTTGCATAATTTAAATATAACATTTGGTTAAACTTACATATATATTTGTATAATGTATATAATTTAACTTTCATATATTAAGACACCGATGTAAAAAATCATTTAGCTAAATTTCTGAAGAATTCATTACAGGAAGTTTTGGCTTAGAAGATAAAATGTGCCTTACATTTTCTCCATAATTTACTATTATGCCTCAGTGATGATATGTATCACTAAGATAAAATATTGTGATTAAAATTAAACAAACTCCTCAGTTACACTCGTTTGCAATTATCAAATTATAAAAATGGCAAACTTCTATTAAAACTGTGAAAATTATAAAATACTGTTTAACATTGTTTAGTTATATTTTCTAAAAACACTGTTCAAGACAGTGATTTTAAAAGATAATAGGGTACTATTGTGAGTAGTAAATACACTAAACTACAAAAACACATTTGCACTAGGAAAATTCATAAAGCATTTCATATTTTTAAAATGTAAAAATGGAACCTATTGCTAATTTACATCATTAACTTTAATATTATAATTGTGAAAAACTCAATTAATAAAAAATAGGAGTTTGTTACTAAAGTCATTAAGTCAGATATCATGACATTTTAATATTGACCAAAAATAGAAAATTTTTAATGTTTTCAGAAATGCCATAATTATTTAATGATGATAATAAAATGAATTTTATGAGACTATATTAATACTTAAGGAAAATCATCTGTATGAAAATAGGACAATAATAGTTCCTACATAATGTCCTACAGTAATGTTCTACAAGGGGCTGGGAATTTAGCTCAGCTCAGCAGCACAGTGCCTGCCTGGCAAGCGTGAGGTCGTGAGTTCGATTCCTGGTACCAGAAAAAAACAAACAAACAAAAATGTTCTACAATAGGACTTTAATATTTCCTACATACATAATCTGCTCTTTTATGGCGTGAGATGAAAGCCTTGGTAATTTGTTCACCGTTATGGGTGTTAAACATGTATTTGTCAGTCATACTGGAATATTTTTTGGTTGACCTCATGTATACCACATGTTAGCTACATTGTTACCTTTTCCCAGGAAAGAGAAACTGCAAAAAACAAATTTCTGATTTGTAATTTCAATTTGGTTATCTATTGAATATCTCAAAAATATTATAATAACTTTCTTGACAGCAAATTATTTTTTCTTGTATTTAAAGAAGACACCACTGGTATGGTTAGCAGAAAGAGCAAGAATTTTAGAGGAGTGTCAATAGAACATGTCTTTACCTAATGGTTTTCTCACTTACAGCTTGTGATCTGATACAAATTAATCTCCTTTAGACTCAGTTTCCTCAGCTATAAAATGGAGAGAATGCACATTACTTGCCTTTAATAAAATGTACTATTATATGCAATGTTTCATCCATTATGTCTGGGATAAGTAGGTACTGGATGAATGCATTCATTCAAGCAACTCTTATTGTATTTCTCTGATGCACCAAGCATCACATTCATTTCTGGAAAATGTGAATAAAACACAAAGATACTTATTGTAAGAGGGTTAGCTGAGTAGTAGTGCTGAATTCTTATCCAATTGTGACTCTTTGTCTTAGAAAAATATGCTGTGAAAGAGAATTAGTGAACTATAGACACAAATACTTCCAATGAGGGATGGGGTTCTAGATCAGCTGTATAATAGTTGCCTAATATGTGAGGCTCTGGGTTTGATCCCTAGCATCAAAAAACATGTGCATGCATGTGTGCACACGTATGTGCACGCAAACACACACATTATTTTTCTAATGAAATCTTTTTCATTAGAAATGTTTTTCCATTTGAATTCATAGCAAAGTATCTCTTCCTTGTATATCTAGGAGAGCAAGAGGACAACAATAATGCCTACATTCTAGCATGATTTCAAGCACTGAAGGGATAACATATGTAAAATATGTGCCTCACACTAAAGAGTCTCTTCCCATTTAATTATTTGATGATATTTCCACTAACATCTTAAAACCAGTTTAGAGTCCATAAGTAGAATGGCTTACAGAAGAACCATGGTGATAGAATGCTTGAAAATAAAAGCTATGAACAAAAGCTCAGGAAAATGAGTGGGATTTCCATGGAAACAAAGTGCCAGGAAGCCTTTGGGAGGAGGAGGACCTGAGACTGTTACAGCCTGGTCATCTTCTGAGCTAATAGGACAGAGACACTGACAGGCTCTGCGAAGTGGAGACTCTGCGGAGGGAATTTGGAACACTGTAGTGGGACAAAATATAACTGGAGAGGAATGTGGCCTGTAAGGGGATTACAAGTTAAAAGCGAACTTGTAGAAGTTCTTGTGTTGGGACACTAGGACAGTTTTAAGAATTTAAAGAGCTTTGCCCCAGGAAAATGCACCATTACCGTTTTGCATAAAATTCCAGAAAGATCCTGGATCTCAGATCAAGAATCCATGAAAAGTCCATAATCTTCATGGAAAAGATAGTGTGGGAGGATTTACTTAAACTGCAGCATTACAATTGTGGGTTGACAGGAAAACTTACTGTTAATAAAAGGTATTAACTGTCACAATGGAGTATCAATGGTGTCACATGCTTTTACAAATGGAAAAGTTTCTCATTTTTCTGGAACTGTTTAGCAGAGAATTTGGGCATCAATCCTCCACATTGTAATGTGCTACATGTGTAATATGTCTTATTAGCTTGAACTTAAGATTGTGCTCACCATAATGATATTAAAATTACATTTCTCTGAATAGTCCTCTACTTGTCTCTATATCATTTAGGAAAGTTTTAGGACTTTCTTAATTGTGCTATCAAACTCAATTCTCTATGCCAAAACTCTGTGAATTTTGAAAATAACATACTTCTTTCAAAAAAACACTTTGACCACAGTTCCCAATACTAGTTTATTTATCAATCACGTACATGTACTGTTGTACTAAGACTCCATATAAACTATTAAATGTATGCAAAAAAACAAATTAAGATGAAAAAGATGAGATGTAATTAGATATTCTGAGTTTCACTCCCAAAGGATCTTATTGCATACCTTTGGGATTTACGCACTCTGGAGAACCACTCTACAATATCTTTCCTTAGACAAATGCTCATGGAAAGAGAAGCATTTTATTGGGGGAGGGACTAAAAAGAAACTTACCTGAAAATTCCAGTTTTCAAGTTTTCCTACTTAAAATGGGGTGCATTTGAATTTATTTTCACTAAAAAAAAAAAAAGTACCAGGAGTCAAGTGATAAACAATCTAATTTGGGAATATGGGCAGTTCCTTTACCTTTTAATCCATTTCCTCCTTTGTAAAAATGAGGAATTGCTCTCCTGAATAACTGGATTTCTGTGGTGGCCAAATGGAGTATATGATAAAAGGTATATATTCTCTTAAGGTGTGACTTGTAGATATCGTGCAGGGCCCTTAATGTGTCATTCTGATCCTGAGAGTAACCCTGCATAGGAAGTATTTTATCCATTTCATAGCGGAGTCATGCTCACGGAGGTTCAAGGCTTCTCCTCAAAGCCTCGCTTTGATAAACTTGCAATGCACTTCACATTATGATGTTTCTCAAACTCAAGTTCTAATTCCATTTGATCATAGGCTTCCAGAAATTAGAGATGCCTATTGCTAGCTACTGTATTATATAGAGGTCTAGAGCAAGCTCAGCAGATGTTCAGAATCATTTAATGAATAAAAATGAGACAGTGACCTTAAACTCCAAGTAAAGGTCTCTAATGGTTATGAAGCTAGTGATACATGGGATATCTCATTTCAGTCCCTTTTCTTACTTCTATAACTTAATACAAATTATTGTTTAAAAATAAGAAACGTCAATCAAAATGTACTTTATTCAAAGATGTGCCCTTCAAAATCAATTTCTTAAGTGTTTAAGCATCTCAGTAGATAGAAATAGATACCTAGCCTTAGTGATATTCATAGATGACTCAGGTTATACTGGTTTTCATGAGGTCTTACAAACAAAGCCAAGACTGCAACCTGTAGGTCTCCAGGTACTGACTGAATATATGTCTGGCTGTCTTGGTACGTGGCTGTGGCTGCAGTTTACGGGGCATGTTGCTAGTGGTAGCTTACTTTCCCTCCATCCCTGCCTTTGTGCTCAAGTCAGTGCCTTTACATTTACTTTGTCCCCAATTTAACGAGTGATCCTCAGCCCTTTCCATGAATTTTTCTTTGCTTACCTGTTAGACTCCTGTTTTCTCCGATTAATTCTACCCAGTTCTCTGTGACTGAACACCCCTGTACTTTTTCTAAGGAGCACAGACATCTGCACATACACCCAGACTTGGAGGGGCCGTTAGTGTTACACAATCTTCTTTCCCATGGCAGGTTAAAAAAGGAAACCAGTTAAGAGAATGAACAGGGTGGTGGGTTGACTTCAGGGTTTTCTTTTGCTTTCCTTTCCTCCAAAAATCCTTGGCATTGACTCCATCTTAGAAGCCTTACTGTAGGAAACTACACGACTGACTGTTAAATTTCTTAAACAGCACACGTACGTTCCCATCTCCTTCTACACCCCCACCTTCTAGTTCTAAAACATAGAATAACCTTAAAGTACTCCTTTCCTTACAGACGCTCACCGAAAGAGCAGAGTGTGGAGTGGTGATGCAAAACAATAAATAAAACAAATTTGAAAATTTTGGCTGCAGGTCAAATCTGTGAAAATTGAAATATTTTTCAACATAGTAAAGTATTATTCATTCCCAGTTTTTGCAGAACATCTACCTGATCATAGTGCCAGAATGTATTAACAACTTGCGAAGTAAAATCTCTCAATGCAGCTTTATTTCTATTTAAGAAAACAAAAAAGTGATTTTATATAGGAATGAAATGAGTTTCATTATTCTAGTATACAGTACATCCCCTTCTCATACATAGTCCCATTTTAAGAGATCTGATTTAGAGATTTTTGACCCTATGTCATGTGCACACACACACACACACACACACACACACACACACACACATAGGTACCACATGGAAAAAGCATTATGTAGATAATGAAAAATGTGAAGCACCTATCAATCTTGTGTGTGAAGGGATAGTATTTATCATTGTTAAAGTGGTCCACATTTACTGAATGCTTGCTGTGTCCCAGGTCCAATGTACCTTACATACATTATTGTCCCAGTTAACCTTCAACACTCTATGAAGCAACAGCAGGAAGATGGTTTCCCTATTTTTACTCTTGGTCCCTTAACTGTGAACCTCACACTCAATACACAATAATAAGTATTATTATTCAGTAGTTTTTAATATACTCACACATCTGTAAGCCACCTCCACTATGTATGTTCACAGCATTTTAATCATTCTACAAAAAAAAAAAAAAACTTCCCTAGACAGTCACTCCAAGTTCTCCTTCCCAATTTTACATTTTTATATCCCTTCATTGGAATTTTTCTTCTCCCAACTTTGAAACCAGAATTAGGTGTCACACAAGTTAAGAGCCATTACGTGTTTTGCTGTCTTATAATATTAATCTGTTTGACTCTGAGATGCATCCAGGATGTTATGGTTTGTGTCTATATGTCCTCCCAAAGCCACATGCAGTCATGGAGTGGGTTCTAGAGTTTTTGACTTACTCATGGTCCATTGGGATTATGGGTGTGAGTGCTAGGATTAAGGGTGTAAGTGCTACACCCACCCTGAGGCAGGCAGCATACATACAATATAAGGGTGTGAAAGAGTCTTGCTTGCTGGTGCTCCTCCCTTTTTGCTCTTGTTGCTTTTGCTGTCTTCCGCTGCCACGAACGGTTGCTCTCAACCATGTGCCATTCTGCCTTGGAGCCAGCTGGGTTGAGACTGAAACTTCCACAAATTGTGAGCTAAATAAACCATTCCTTCCTTAATTTTGGGTGTTGGGTATTTTGTCCCAGCAATGAGAGAAAAGTAACCAAGGCAAGGGGTCTGCAAATATTGAGTATCTGGATTTCAAAGAAGAGGAAAGAACCTCTTTGTCCAGTTTTATAATTGCACCTATTGTCCAATCCTCCCTTGCATACTGTTTTGCATTGTTCTTTTCTATGGGGATTTCTACTTGGTGTCGGAGATACCATTAGATCTACTACAGCCAGCTGTCAATCAGAGGTACGGAATGGAGTAGAAAAACCACAGAGCTTGGACAAATACACCTTGTCCCAAGTTCCAATTCAGCCCTAAGGTACTTTGCTGCAGTTATACTACCAACTTGTTTAAGCCTCACTGTATGCACATCCCACTGAAACATGAGTTTTCTTTCCCTCTACAAAGAAGTTGAGTCTGTTTTTTGACCCTGTGCATGTGGACTGGATCATAAAGCATGCTTAGGTAAATGTGACAAAAACAAAGACTGAGTGTGCTTGTACGTCAGGGCCTTCACTCTGTTTTCCTTCTGGGAATCTTTCTGCCAGTATGTGATTGAGTCTGGGTTGGCTGGAAGATAAGAGACCACACACACACACACACACACACACACACACACACACACACACAGGCCTTCCCAGTTGTTCCACATCCCCACATAGATCTATGCGAGTGAGTGAAGCCAACTACTACCTCCAGCCACAGCCAAGCACACCCAGGCCAGCCACAGAATAGAAGACAGAAAGAGAAAACGTTTGCTGTTTCAGCCCTCTAAGTGGACTTGAAAGTTGGTTTGTTCTGTAGTATGGCTTTTTCTGCAGAAAAGCATAACTGAGCTGGGTGCGGTGATTCAATTTGTAGTCTCAGCTACTTGGAGGTTGAGGCAGGAGGATGGCTAGTTTGAGACCAGTCTGAGCACCACAGTGAGAAGCCCTCTCAAAAAGATGAAAAAAGAAGCAGGAAGGAGGGAGGAAGGGAGGGATGGTGGGAGGAAAGAAGAGAGGAAGAGAGAGAGGAAAGAGACAGAAGAGAAAAAGCTAACTAATACAGAGAGAAAAATAGTTCTTTCAAGAACATGAGAAAAAGATGGACATGGTGGTGCACGACTATAATTCCAGTTATGTAGGAGGCTGAAGCAGGAGCATTCTCAAGTGAGGGGCATGGTGGTTGTAATACCCAGGCTAATGTTTAATTTGGGAGTAAGGAAAATACAAGCAAGATTGGGCTGTAGAATTCATATTATTGGAGAAAATAAAAATATAAACCCAAGGGGGTGCCAAATAGTCTGTTGGTAACAAAAAAGATGAACGATATTTTGATATTGAGGAGACACAAAATAATGGAAAGTGTTTTTTTATATACAAAGGAAAAAATGTTTTTGTGATGTTCTTACATTAATTGATGATTCAGCAAATTGCAAAACTTCAATTTATTAAACTCTAAAGGAAGAAATAATCAACATATCTACTCAACTCATTGGAACTTAAAACACACTTTTGGAAAAAGATATGAAGGTAAGTCTGCAGATACCAAAGGATTTTATTGTTTAAACTCATTTGCTGTACTTGTGTAATATAGTCAATCTTTATTCAAATAGACCTCACTTAAGTGAAATGAGGTTATTTACACATAAGTGTAAATAACTCAGTTATTTACAGTTTTAAAATTTAATTATTTTATTTGTATGGAACTCACAGTAATCTGAATGTATTAATAATTAAATATTAGTACATGAATGAAATTCAGTCTTCAGCATTCAGCTTTGATAGTGTGATGCTGGGTGTTATTCTTTTTTATTGTGGTAAGGTGCTTACCTAGAATTTGTGAGACAATACTTGAGGTTCAGTCCACAGTGCCAAAAAAAATCACTATCACTTTTTCACATTTCCTTGAGCTATACACTATGGGATATATATATATATATATATATATATATATATATATATACACACACACACACACACATACATACATACATACACATATATAACACAATAATGCACACTATTTGTTAACCCAAATAACAAGCTATATAGTCTGCTAAGTGCATGGCATATATGTTTTTTTTTTTCTGGTACCAGCAATCGAACTCAGGACCTTGCGCTTGCCAGGCAGATGCTTGTGCAGCTGAGCTATATCCCTGGCCCTGCATGGCATATATGAATTCATTCATCCTTCCATGTATCCTAGCAAGAAGACACCATTGTCTGGTCCTAAGCAGGACCTCTTAGTGACCCCTCTGACATGTGCAAACTTCTATTGAAACTGCATAAAAAGATTTACACACAAACCAAGTTATACTCTTACCTCAAAATTATACTAAAATACATTTGAGAAGGATTTAATTAGGAATTATATGTAAGGCCATTTAAAAAGTAGGCGAATTATCAGCATAAAGAAGAACGTCATATAAGCAATTTTTAAGAAAGTTATAAAAAGAAAATAGTTGTAAGTGCACTAATGTTTACAATTATTCTCCCACAGGAGTATAAACATTATTGGACAGAGTTGAGAGGAACTACCCTTTTCTTTTATACTGACAAAAAAAGTACAATAGTAAGTACAAAAGTACAATAGTAAAACAAGTTAAGCTGATTTAATTGTTTCCTATGTGCCCTTGTTACATAGTCTTTTATTTGTTGTGGGGTTTCCGCCATCCAAGAATAAAGATGCACTTATAAAATCAATTCAAGTGAACACAATTTGAATCTGGAAGGACCGTCAATTATGATAGGACCAATTGCAAAATTTCCCAAGCAACTCGGAAGGTATTAACTCATGTCTTTAACTTGCTGTTCATTTATTTCTGATTCTGATAATTAGAACTTAGCTAATAAGTAGAAATTTTATATATCTGAAAATAAAGTGCTTAATACAGAGTGATAGGTTCAATGGTCCTTACTTATGTTGCTCTAGTATACGATTATAATCTGAAAGGAAAAAGATGTTCTCCAGAATTTCATAACATACAATATCACAACTTAATTTTTCTTGAAACACAAAATCATACCCCTTATGAGAATAACAGCAAAGGGATTCTAAGATTTACTTTATTTCAGATTTTGCTTGTGTGCTTTATTTTATTCCATGAATAAGCTATTTTCGTGCAAAAGTCTGCCTACCTTGGAATGTAGGAGACTTTATAAGCCACTGACTTTTTAAACTATAAACGTTCCAGATCATGAACAGGAGTAGCCCATACTTCTTAGAATATCATTACTAGAACTAGCATGCCCAGATCAAATGAAAGGAAGACAAAATAGAGCTGATGTAATGTATCCGTACAGACATTTCAGCACCATCATTGCTGAACTGGCCAGAAACTACTAAAAACAAAGAAAACACAAACTTAAAATAGACATCTTTCACCAGAGTTCTGAACAGAACGAGTTATAGTAGGGTGTTTTCAAATACCATAATACATTTTATAAAAACTAAGTTCTCTGTTGTACATTCTAACTTCCCCCTGACATCAGTCAATCAAAAGACCTCATTTAAACTTTGTACAATGCAGAGTAAATGGCAGAGCTGACAATCCTTGCTCACTTGCTACGTGACGCAAGGCAGTACAGCTTGATGAATGCGAGTCTGGAGTGTTCAGACAGATTATCTGAGTTTTTCTGCTGGTCCTGCCACTGTTAACAGTGGGATCTTGGCCTAATTACCTAACCTTTCAGTGACTCAATGTATCCATGAGAAAACTTGTACAGAATAAACCACATCTCAAATTAGACAATCTGAAGAGGGTTGAATAAAGTTTTAATAAATACTCAAAGCAGTAGACAAAGTCTAGGCTCACAAAGGCTGGTACAGAACCTGAGGCTAATAATAGTGCCACACTACCATATCTACAAGGGAAAGGGAGACACAGATCATTCTTGAGAAAAGTATGATCTTTATCTAGGAGATCAACTGCACAGGGTATTAAATACCCAACTTCACCCGTCACATCCCTCTGATCTGCCAGTGTGCCCCAGTGGTTCAACTTAACAGGAAGACAAAGGGTGCAAGAGGCCTTTGGTGTTGTCTACCTAGGTCTGTCACCTGACGTAGAGTACTGGATGGCAAAAGGATACAAGTGAATGTAGAAAAGCAAACAACACAAAGAGGGGCTGAGGAGCTCTCCAGTATCCTCGGTCTTCAAATCTTTAAACTTCAGACGATCTCAGCTCATGTCATAAGGCTATCCAAAGAAATTAATGAGATAGGACGTAAGATGGTAGCTAGCATACAGTAAGCATTTCAGCATTTTACAGGTGTTATCTGTTGAATTCTCACAGCAACTCTCCAGAGAGGGTACTGTTTTAATACCCAGTTTTTAGATGAAAAAAGTCAAGGTTAAAGATTAAGAAATTGCACATGATCAGACAGTTAATAAAAGGGGAACAATCTGGGTCTTTCTTGTGAGCCAGGTTTCTTAACCATTATATCATGAAGAGTTTGTTATAATGATATGCTGCATGTTGCCCATCTAGCAATTTTGATAAAAGATGACATAGATCTTCCAGGAAGCTTTGTGGGGTGATACACTCCAAAGGAAGTGTGGGACAGACCAGGTGAGCACTGTATGTATTTATTAACTTAAAGCAGGAAGAATATAAAACTTCCTTTATGTATCTGAAAGGCTGTCACGAAGCCTAACTCTCACTCATGTGAGTCACAGGATCCTTGTAGTGTTATTCTAGAGAAAAGGGTCTAGCACAATGGATGGAAATTACTGGGCTGGGGGGACTGGCTCCGTTCACTAACATTTACTAATAGACAGGGCTGCACAGGAGGCAGGAGGCTGCGTCATGAGCAGCTGTCCCACCTCTGGAAGAAGAGCTGCACCGAGGGATGTCAGAAGCACAGGCACGCTCAGGTGGCAGCTGGATTAGACAGATGACCTTTAAGTTTCTTTACAACACTACAATTAAAAGCAAAAGATATGACTTGTTTCCTCTAATCCATAATCAGCCCACACATCCTATCTAACTCGGCCACCTCTTCCTCTGTTGCTTCCGCTATGTTGCGGCCAAACACTGAGCTAGATCAGACAGGCAGTCAAAAAAACCCGGGCTTAATTTAAACTAAACTTCTCTTTCCATTTCTAATTCTCTGTTCATTGAAAATAAACAGGCTAACCTCAGCCCAAACTTACCCTCCATCTCAATACAGAAATACAGAAATAGCTCAATACAGAAATAGCTCTACACGATATTTACTTGCCCCCCTTTATTCAGAAAAGCAAATAAGGAGACTTATAAGAATTCAAACTAAAGACAGGCAAGTTAAGAATGAGGCTATGTTAGCAAAAAAAGCTCCTAGAAACCATACCAAAGGTAGTTCTTTGTATACTAGTGGGCAAGCACAGCAGTCCTATAGATGGATTGTTCAGAAGGAATATTTTTATTGTGCTTGGATGAGAAAATAATTTCTTAATAGTATATTAATGGCCAGTAGTGTATGGAATGTTAAACAATGACTTCTTAGAAAAAAGTGTACATGCAAATGTATGCAAATAAACTTATAATGAATATTAATGATATAGAAAATGTACAGCACACGATTTAAAATTTCACAATACCCCTTACTGTGACTTTCATATGGCCAATTGATTCCCAAGTGCTTTCTTGGATTTTTGCTGACCCAACTTCTCTGAATTACATATTTTTTAATTCTGAAAGAATATTTATCAACTTTTTTCTCTATTTATAGTGAAACAGCTTCAGACACAATAAACTTTGAAATTTTAGCTGCATTATTAACATTTTGCCTTTTATTTTCTGAAGTCTACGCTGGCACCAGCGGACAGTGGAGTTTGGGTCAAGTTTGAGGACCAGTGGCTTGACTTTATATTATGTGAACTAGGCATCTTTTTAAAAAATTTTTACATTTTAAGGTGATGTAAAGGAAAACAAAAAAGAATCTGTAATAAAGATTGTATGTAGGCTTCAAGTAATTGCTATGTGTCTTTTGCAGACAAAAGTGCTGCCTCTGGGACAATAAACAATACAATAAATCAAAACCTGCTTTGTAACAGGTCTACCCTTACTTTCCACGGGGTAACACCCCCTGCCATGGCTCACTCCAACTTATGCATATGACCTCATTGAACTGCAGTTCAGAAGAAAAGCACTGTAGCAGCACTCTTATATAATTTCACCACACAGTACAAAGATGCAAATAACCTCAAACACAGAGAGTAGCAAAATGTAATAATATTATTAGAAACTAATAATTGGAGTTTTAATTATAGTTTTCATTTTTAAAAATTTCATTCGTCCTTGTTTGCAGGACATAATGTTGACTTTCCTTGTGTGGAGTCGGTACTGGTGCAGAACACGTCTTAATTTCTTTTTCATCCCTTTTCCTCCCTTCCTCTTGCCTCCATTCTTGATCTCCTTCGCATCTGAGCAACAGCTCCCTACTTCCTACTAGCTCTGTTATTTTGTTCTTTATTTATACTTGGGTTTCTTGTATAAAAAAATCTATGTGATATTTAAACTTGTACATGTGATTTATTTCACTTAACATTATGGCTTGCAGATGCACCCATTTTCCCACCAATGACTCAGGTTTGTCTTTATGGCAGAGTACACTCCCCTGTGTGTAAACACCACATTTTCATTATCCATCCATCTGTGATGACCATACAGGCTGCTTCCAGGTGTTGGCTATCATGAATTGTGTTGCTATAAACATGGATATGCATGTATCACAGCAATATGATGTCTTTAACTCTTGCTGGTATGTTTATATAATTAGATTTTTAATAATGGCTGTGTTCTACAACTCATTTGCAAAATTTGTGAAAATTTAACAACTACATTTCACAAACTTGTATGAATCAGATTCAACACCAAAATCTAATGGATTTCCAAATACCCTTTAGGGCTGGAAAAAAGCCAGGGTTTCATGCAAGGTGTGAAACAGTTGAAAACACTATTTTTCCTTCCTGCTACAAAAAAAATGTGTATTATCCATGAAATAATTTAATGGGGTTTTCCTTTATCTTTGCAGTATGTTGACAAATTAGACATACTAAACTTCATACGCCTTACTGAACAGAACTCAGCTGAAAAGAATTGTGCAAACTTCACCCTTGTTTTGCCAAAAGAGGACGTGCACCTGAAGGTGAGTGAGAACAGGACTCTAAAAAGTTACTCTTATAAAGTGCGCTCACTTCTTAATACTCAATAGCTGAAGTAAAAGGGAATTATAAGAGGAGTGAAGTCTCATACTTTGTTAGTATCTCTTTCCCTTCAATTAAAAAGGACAAGTTTTTGGAATTGGATTTTAGAACAGCATGCTCATTTATTTAGTATATACCATAATGAAACCTTATACTACTTCTATCTTCTGACAAAGTCAGAAATCCCACCTGGTATTTTAAAAAAAGGTTGCCCTTCAATTGAACAATTCAATTCCAAGTTGAATTCCTGGGACCCAGAGCCTATATTTTAAGCAAACTTTGTAGGTGACCTGTGGATATAGCAGTTAAGGGAACAGCATTGAAGTCAGACACCTAGATTTAAACTTGGGCTGATTTATGTATTAACCGTGTGATTGTAGGCAAGTGACTTGACTTTTTTTTTATACCTTTGTTTCTTCACTCAGAAGTAAGTCTGGTGTAAGTCTCTCACTGAGGCCCACTTTATTAAAATTGCAACCTTTCCCCTCTTCTACTCCCTAAACATACTATCAATCTGTTTTACCCTGATCTACATTTTGTTTTTATTTTCTTCTGATACTATCAAATGTACTATTATGCTTATTATTTACTGACCCTAAACTCCATGAAAATAAAGATATTTGTTTTCCCTGATATAAACCAATATCTGAATTAGTACATACCAATTTTAAAAATAATAAATATATTTTAAATGAAAAGAATCTATAAAATTATAATGGTAATGAAGTACCTCTTTCTGAAAAAAGGAGTAAAAAGTGAGTTGGTCATTTCAAAGTTATTTTCCTAGTAAGGCAGAGATAGATAGGTGATAGAAAACTTATTAGATTTTTATTTCAAGTTCCTTCAGGTTACCTTTTTTAGTGTGTGAGAATTTTTTTTTAATAGGAGAAAAGGATTTTTAGCTCACAGTTTGTAGAGGTTTCAGTCCATAGTCAGCTGGCTGTAAGGCAGGGTGGCATGGCAGAGGGGCATTACAGAGGAGAAACATTCATGGTGGGCAGAAGGTAGCACAGCAAGAAGGGGGAACCAGTTCATGGCAGCCAGAAGTTAGCAAAATAACAAGAGATGGTGCTTAAGAATTAAGAGAGAAGGAACTTCACTTATTATGCCAAATGAAATTGGCCTGTGCAGCAAAGTTGACTGTTATTTTTTTCCTTATTTCTCAGAGAGGTCAGATAACAACCCAGTTTTGGTTTAGTGATGTGGAGCTTTTGCATGATTGACTTCATTTTGAACTCCAGTCTAGCTGTGGAGCTCAGTGCAGGAGCATACTCTGAACAACAGTCTCCTACAGTGCCTACTGAACAAGAGTAAACAAATACCTGTGAAGGCGTAGAGCAGTAGTTGACACTGTAAGCACTCATGTAGGTTTGTAGATGTTGTTATTCACAGTAGGAACAACAGTGGTATTTTAGAGTTAAGAATTGTGAGTTCCTCCCCACACTGGTTGCCCCATCTTCAAGCCAGTCAATGTTAAATACCAAGAGAGGAAGCATTAACTCACACACCAGAAATAGGTTTGTTAATGTTTAATTTTAAGTATGAATATGCACAATTTTACTTGTTTAATAAGCAAACAGATTAAAGGCATGCATTTCTATTTTCTGATGAAAGAAAAATGATATTACAATAGTTCTTAAAAAAATGAACTTTAATGGTTCTATGCAAAGAGGAAAATGAAGTATTTCTTCATTTCATTTGACCTATGTGATTTAAAAAATTACAGCTGACCTTTAAACAGCATCCTTCAATAGAAGAATATGTATTTTATCAGTCTTGCTGGGTTTTGATGGCTTTACATATCTTGTCATAAATTAATCATGAAATTCTAAAGTTATTTGAAGTCAATAAAAACATTAATACTCATAATCGCTCTCGTTTTCTTCATCTGTGTTTGTCTTCATCTGCAGACAGAGAACACAGAGAGTGGGGATGAATGGAGAGGCTTCCTTCTTACAGTGAAAGAGGTAGGAAGGTCTTCACTTTTGATTAATTTGCTTATTCAGAAATATTTGCTGAACACCTACTATGAACCATGAAGAAAGAAAGTGGATAAAGAATAGAGAAGGATAAACTTCGGTCATTTGTAGGAAAATGGAAGCACCTCGACACCATAATGCTAAGTGAAATAAATCAGACACACGAGCTTAAATATCATATTGTTTCTTTTATATGAGAAACTCAAAATATAAATACAGAGCAAATTCAATGACAGATACTAAGAAATAGGGAGATGGGCCTTCTGCACAGGAAAGGGACGAGAGATGCAGGGGGCAGGGAGAGGAAGGTGATAAGAAAAGAATTAAGATGGGTTATGTACATGGACCAACTGCCCACAAGCAGTGTAATTGCTATGTACTAATAAAAAATAACATCTGAAAAAGAAAAGATGGCTGAGATACAGCAATTGAAAAAGACAGGTACAAGCCCTTGCACTTGCTTCTGAAAGTTTTCTTCCTATCAGGTGAGTGGAAGGGGGCAAAAAACAAGCAGGTTAGCAAATGAGATCTTTTCCCATTTCAATAATTATCACGAAGAAAACTGACCAGGCAAGGTGCTGATGAGTATCAGGTAGCCAGGAAGAGCTACGTTTTTCTTTCTATCTTTGACATGTACGTCTTTTGTATATTCTGACATTTATAGCTTACACAGCAACTTGAATATATATCCCAACTTCTTATTTATTTTGTATTTATAAAATGCTAACAGGTGGATTTTATGACTAACATATACAATATAAGAAGGAGAGATGGTCAAAATGAAGATTCACCTTTACACATTTGTTTAGAGAGTTTTAAAACAAAGAGATACTTATCTGTTCAACTGGACAGCGTTTTATCTGAAGCAAAAGGCTTAGAGTTAACTGTTGTATCAAGATAACTACCATTCATCTGAATAAAGCCACTGTAGTAACTATCTTGGAAACAGGAGATTCTTTGATAAACAGCTCCTTCCCACAAAACACCATGTTCTCTGACACATTTAGAGGATATGAATATTTTCCATGTTTATTAGGGTCAGTTAAACAGACTGTATCCCAAGCTCCTTTCTAAGCGAAGTCTTTGCAGTCACATGGAAAAAGCCTTTTACCAAGATGTTACATGCTGGGGCTTCCTCTCAGCTAACAGATAAAGGTTGAAGTTCAACTGCTGTGTGAGGAAGTAGGGCATTACAGGCTGCGCATGTGGGTTGGTTAAAGATGTGAAAGATATGTTGCTTTTGGAGGTTGGAGGAAGAAACTCTTAGGGAAATTAAACTTTGTTCTTCTGTTGTGGAAAAGCAATTGTGCGCCAAGGTGCCTCTTTTATTGGGGTAGAAATGTCCCAAGTGTATTTCTCAGGTTGAGAAATTCACTAAAATAACTGGAGGGGGGGCTTGTTGTATTTTTTTAATGTGCTAATTATAAGGCTTGGTGAACATTTTATTTTTACTATTTTCCTTGAGGTACGGATACAAAGCATAATATAATATAATAAAATTTATACATTAGACTACCAAATAAAATTTATGTAACTTTTCAAGGGAAGACAAATTCTGTGCTCTATAAATGTTTTGTGCTACAGTCCCAAATCATTGTATATGAGCAGTCACATCACATTACAGCTTTGACAGGGAAGGGTGAGAGCAGACAGTTCCATGAGCTGAAACATTGCTTTTCAAGCAAATAAACAAACTTAAGTTTGTGTCCTGATTCTACAACTTACTAGCGAGGTGACCCTGGACTAGATATTTAATTTTTCTGAGCATGTTGTTTGTTGTTTCATTTGTACAGTAGAGATAACACAATGTTTGAGATATAATAAGCATTTCACAAGAAGTAGCTGAAAGAAAATATTAATAGAAATAAAAAATAAACAGTAACTTCGTTTCTTCCCCATTATGCTATTTCTTGTGGTTTGGCATATGAAGAAATGGCGTTAGGGCCTAGATGGTGGCACACATTTGTAATCTCAGCTAACGGGAGGCTGAGCCAGGAAGATTATGGATTTGAGGCTAGCCTGGCTACATAGTGAGAACTAGTATCAAAAAAAAGTCTCTAACCCGTGCACCCCGTTAGTGAATTTTTATTTAAACACCATACGCGCGCGCGCACACACACACACACACACACACACGTATAATGCAAAATATTACGTGTATGCTCTTTTCCCACACTTGATGAACTTTCTTGGGTGCCCCCTAGAAGGAATGCATTCCCCTGTGGTGATAAAGATGGGAAGCTGAGATGACTGCCTTCAGACAGACTCTCTGGTGACCCATACAGAAAAGCATACATCTCCTAAGAGAATGTAGCTGGGCATAGATAGGGACTAAATTAGCTGGGCACAGCGGTACCTGTAATTCCAGCCCTCAGCCCTCAGGAGACTGAGGAGGATGATCATGAAGTTGGCACCACCCTGAGACTCAGCTGGGAGTCGGGATACAATCAGGACATATGTAGGTACCTTAACCCAAAATATAGCTCTAGAAAAGGTAACAACAAACCCAACTAATAGGTAGAGAAGAATCGTAATTCTCGCATATGAATAAATGTTTGCAGCACACACATTCATGCTGATTCTCTGTTGTCTAATGGGTAGTTTCATCTCTATCCCATAAGCCATAATATTGTGGAGCTTGTTCCAAGTTTACTTGTGAGAAAATGAAACACCTTATCTGTGCTCTTGAGTGACCTTCACACTGATGAACTAGTGAGCTCAGGATGAAAAATGAGACTTTTGTCATTGCTCAAACTAGCTTGTACTACAAAGTAGGTGTACTGTGGTTTGGGGCCGGCTCCAAAGGAAGATTTCTGGGAAGAAGGGCAGGCACATTACAGGTTCTAGTTGGTTTAAAGGTCATTCTAAGACACCTGCTCTGAACCAAAATTTATTTATGATTCTACCCATCCATCTGTGCCAGGTGACCAGAGTTCCTTAGAATCATAAAAGCCTTATCTTTACTAAAACCAGCACATTATTTAGCTGTCTTTCTCATCTGCCGACTGTTTTAATTGATTCCAGCTCTCTGTGCCCCAACATGTGTCACTTCTACCTGGGCAAGTGATTAGACTACATGAAGTCCTGGAGAAAGAAAAGAAAAGAAGGACTGAGATAGAACAGCTGCCAGTTGCATCTGTGGAAAAAGAGAAGGAACCAATTGAAGAACATAGGGATGCATTCAACCCTATGCCAGTGTAAGTGCCCAGTGAACCCCAGCTTATTCATTTGATTGTTAACACGAGTATCTGGTTATCAAGGAGAGTTACTCATTTGACCTTATTTAACCAGGGACAATAAAAAATCCTGGGGATAAACTGCATGTCTCTGAATACCTGCTACATTTCCTCTTCTATGTCATGATCAAATTAATGCAGATTTGAACCAGCTCTCTTACCACACAGGAAATCCCCTTCTACCCACAAACTTGGACCAAATAGATACTTTTTCCGGAGCTCAGACCTAAATAAAAGTTCCTGTGAAGAAGGAAGGGAAACGTATTTTTTTTACCATACAGCTCTATAACTGGCCAGTTTTCTATCAAAATTATAGCAAAGAATTTTAAATGCAGAGAATATTCTATTCAATCGATGGGCCAGTAAGTAGTTATGGAGTTTGTGCTTTTGAGACGGCCCTTGTTGAAAAAATGAGGAGGCAACATGCAGGATTCAGCAGCACCCAGCATTTATCTTCTATATTGTTGAAAAGACTGTGAGCCCTTTTCTCCTGGGGATTCCTGTCAGTGAAACTTGACATCAGGTTCAGATACAGAGCCTATCTCTACCATAACCACTGAAACCTTCCAAGCATTGGTCGCTGAAACCCAAGATAGCCAGTGGACTGAAAGGTGAACGATCATACAAATTGCTTCTTTTCTTTTTTTCTCAATAAAACAACTAATATGTTGATTACAGATAAAGAAAAGATTAGAATCATTCCTGGTCTTACCACTGAGGAATTTGCTGTTAACATTCTGGTATATTTCACACCCTACCAGGTTTTTTGTTTTTGTTTTTGTTTTTGTTTTTTCCTATGACTACGTCAATATATTTCACTTACTACAATATATTATAAAAAATAGGAAGTGCTATTTTTTAAAAAAAATTATGTGTAAAAATGCCGACAATACAATAGAAAGGCGTACCAAAGGAGTAAGTTTGGACCTATACTTAAAATCAGTTTTAAAAGCAAAGATTAAGTAAGAGATACATTTAGAGATGTTTTATATCCTTGAAAGGAAACCACGAACCAATATTTATCCAAGATCCCCCTTGTCAACTGAGACTGGGGTTACACTGTTAACTGTTGTTTTATATTTCTAAATGCTAGTGGTGATTATACTATGATGATCTGTAAATAAGTTTCCAGGTCCTCTTTGCTTAAAGAGGCTTTGGGAAAATGAGGGAAGGACATTTTCATTAGCATACTTACGGTGGCACAGGTTTGTTATAATAGGTACTAAAATTATACAATTACAATTTTAACAATAAAACTGAAGTTTTAACAAAAATCAGTAATTGTAGCCCTAAAAGGTATTTTGATAGTGTTATTTTGAAGTCATGATCTTCATCAGTTAAAAAAAATTTTCTTCTACCCTCTCTAGATGTTTTTATACAGTTTCCCGGAAAGAAGCAACCGAGATGTTGGAGAAGAATCCTTCCTTGGGAAATATGATCCTGAGACCTGGTAGTGACAGTAGAAACTATTCCATCACTATCCGACAGGAGACAGAGTACGTTTCATTTAAGACTGTGTAGAACTGTTAAAAACGTGACATTGCTTTAGAAATCAAAGTCACACAAGTTCGGATCCATGCCTCCTGCATGTTTTGTTATATGCATAAATGATGATAAAGTTTTTAGGGTGAAAGCAGGATGAGAGAGACCGGAATCCTCGGTGGCAATAAGAGGAGAAAATTTTTGTAGCCTCTACTGTTTTAACCTAGAGCGGTCTTGGAAGGCTTACTTGATTAACTGATGCTTGAGCAGAGATCTAAAGGAATTGAGGGAACAAACTGGGTCGATATTTGGTTACAAACAGTGTAGGCAGCTTGTGCCCAGAGGCAGAAGAACACTTGGCTCATTTAAGAAACAGAAAGAGACTCACTGTGCCTGCAGTGGGGTCATAAAGCAGAAAAGCCATAGGAGATAAGAGTCCAGGGTGGAGCAGGGACAGATCACTCAAAGTCCTTTGTCTGTATGTGGGATTTTGAGACAGGGTCTCACTTTGTAGTCCAGGCTGGCCTAGAACTCCTGCTCCAGCCTCCTGAGTGCTGGCTGGGATTACGGGTGTGCACCACCGCGCTGTGGCCTACAGGTCACTGTAGGGACCAGAGTTTGACTCTGAGTGACAGAAGAGGCTGCTGGGCTGTTGACACAGTCTGACTAATGACAAAAGGGGCTCCTAAGGACCCTCTTGATAAGGTTAGTAGTTCCTTCTAGTAAGAAGGTTTACCCGTGAGAAAGTCAGGAACAGTTAAATACAAATGCTGTTTTTCTGTGTGTGTAGTGAGAGTGAGCGGATCTTTTCAGAGCCACTATAGTTTAAGAGTCCATGAAAACTTAAATTTCAGTAGGGGACTGTGGCTTTAAAACATAAGACATTTCTGCCCTACATGGAAACATGCAATCACTGTTTAGTAAGATCTGTGATTCCTGAAGTTGTCTTTCTTTTTGGAAGAAAGACAAAGAGTCTTTTTTTTTCATTAGCATACTTACGGTGTTATTTTGAAGTCACAATCTTCATCAGTTAAAAAACATTTTTCATCAGCATACTCTTGGATCTTGTGATACAGTTCATGCTGGCCAGCATTTGGCCGTTCTTCTGCCTCAGCCCCAAAGAGTTGCAATGGCGTGGGTGTGTCATCATGCCAGGCTTGAATTTGCTGTACTTTATGGGAATAACACTCTATTTATTATTAAGAATTATACCTACTGATCCACCCCATAAATCTCTGTAACTATACACAGAGTCAATATGAAGACATTGAGAGTGAGTCAAGGCAGTAAAAAGAAAATAGTCACTTGCAGGAGAAATTAAAACGATGGCACTATGGCTGCACTATTAGTGTGAGCTATGGCCCCTAAGCGCTATTCACTTGTCCGTTACTCCAATGCAGACAGGTACTTGTCTTTATACACTAGCTATGTGCACTAAACAGATGGCAGGAATGTTGGAGGGTAAGTCAGATCCTGCTTCTGTGTGTGTGTGTGTGTGTGTGTGTGTGTAGGTGTACGTAGCTGTGTATTCCACTGTGACTATCTGTCAATCTTCTTGTGGCTTGCTGATGTCTTCTATGTTATCTTAATAACATCTGTTAAACATTAAGGATGAACTTTTAACTCCATTGGAATATAGTAGAGTATATGGACTTTTTTTTTTTTAGTTTTAGGCTATTTGATTTAAAATTTAACTACCTTGAAACAAAACCAAAAGAAATGAAAGTTGTCATGCCATCAAATATCAGTAAATTTAGAACTCCTACTTAAAAGTGTATTTTTCTGTTTTGTATCTTTTGGTCAAGGATTTTGTCATTTTTCAGAGTGTAGGAAATTAAGTATCAGATACTTTTACTTTTAAAAAATAAGAGACTATAGAACTGAATTAAAATTTACAGAGAAAAAAATTTTAAGAAACATAATCTAACTGTTAAAAAAATTAGGTCACACAAGACTGTGATTGCTTTTTGTCCCTCATATTATTTCTTTTTTGGTTTGTTTACTTCACTTACATATAAATTATTTCCTGCAAAATAGCAGCAGATCTCTTTTAAGGTCGTTTCCTTGGTTACTTTTCTCCTGTGCTGAGACGAAATACCCAATGCCCAAAATTAAGGAAGGAAAGGTTTACTTAGCTTACAGTTTGTGGTGGTTTCAGTCTACAATCAGCTGACTCCAAGGCAGAGTGACACAGCTCAAGGCAGCATAAGACAGCAAGAGCAACACAAGCAAAAGGGGATGAGGAGCAAGTCTCTTTCCCCCCTTATATTGTGTGCAGGCCCTCCACTCTAGGGTGGGTCCTTTATTCCCTCACCATCTCTGTGCCCTCCTCTTGCACAGGCTCAGGATATTCACAAAGTGAGGACCCTGGCCCCTGCTGAGTCCCTTAGTTAAGCTTCTAAACTTATCAAGTTGACACAATGTATCAACCATTACACTAGTCTAAATTATTCATCTTTTGCACTACATTTTCCATATAACTGAACTAGAGAAATAACAGCATTTTCTGCTACACATGTGGATTATAACAAAATGCAGTGTTTCTATACTTAGGATGTGAATTTAATGCCACAGTTTTACTATATTTATATTGTATTTAAGTTGTATTGAAATGCATAAGAAAGTTTGGAAAAAGGAGATCATATCAGTTATGTAGTTCTAATTTTAGTAAGCTCACTTCCAGTTTGATGTCAGTTGATGGTCATAAAAACATAACATTTCATAAAATCACCTCCTCTCTCCTAAGTATTTAGAAAGCAAGAAGTGAGGTATACAGTCAAGCTAAACATTCTAACACTGGAATCAGTATGTGCTCGCTAGACTTTGGAGAACTGATTACACACGAAGGAGGCTTACAAAAATTTAACTGTTACTACACAAAGTTTTCCTTATGAACCAGACACATGTGGTTAAGGATCATTATTTGTGTTCTCTAATGCATCAAAAGAGGCCATTGAGAATGCCTGAATGTCATATCTTTTATTTAACAGGTCACTTAATTGTTAAGGATAGCAACTATAGAATGTATTAGAATTTTACCTCATAGTGTAGACCTTAATGAAAGACTTCAGTAGAAATCTAGACTATTAGGAAACACCTGTGTTTCCAAAACCCCAAGTAATTCTCTTACAAATGAGTTATAGAGAAATGTTCAGCCATGCAAGGTAGGTGAGTTTGTGTGGTAAAACACTAGCTGAAAAGGACAAGTTGGTTTACAAAACAGTACTTGGAAGCAAAAATTTTCCATCTGTTAACAAATCAGCTGTGGGAGGGAAGACTCTTCTCAGGAATAAACAAGTCATTCAGTGACAAATTAGCCGGTGTAGAATATCATCCATTTTTGCTCAGCCAATGGGCGAATGCATTCATAAAACAGAAAGCTATCCTTACAACAAACTTTATATTTTGGTTTTGTTTTCTGGAAATTACTGACTAGGTGCCATGCTAATAATAAAAACAGCTTGGAAGGCCACTAGCTAAGGAAGCTGTAGAAAATATTTAAAACCAAACAAAATATGAAAGAAAAACAAAAGGTCTAAAATGAGAGGCAAAGCCTAAGCAACTTCCATGTAATCAACTTCAGTGGGATTTTCGCTCTTCTTTCTGCTTCAGTGTTCTCCTCTATCAGAACTCCAGAAGACCCTATTGGCCTTTGTCACTTTTCTGTCCACAGCTTAGCCATGAGTGAAGACCGAGATGTGATGGTTATTACCAACAGCAGCAATCAAGCCCCCCTTTCACACAATCCCACTTGTGAACCCCGAGTTGAGTGCTAGCAAACATCCCCTTCAGACACAGTAAAAACATGGAGGCAGACAGGGTTTTCCATGTTTTACAAGTGAAGAAGCCAAGACTCACAGAAATAATCGAATTAAAACTACAAATTTAAAATGTAGTAAAACAATAGTTAAAATGTCCTGTGTCTTTTTTGTTTTGTTTTATTTGGTACCAGGAACCGAACTCATGACCTTGGGCTTGCCAGGCAGGCACTGTGCCACTGAGCTAAATCCCCAGCCCCTAAAATGTCCTGAGTCTTAAATGTGTCAGACATTACTAAGGACTTTGCAAGCACTAGCCCACAGCAGCCCTGTGAGGTATGGCAGCACCATCTCCATTGTATAGATGAAAAACCAGGGAAGCACAGAAAACGGAACCAGAATTTGAACCAGTGAATAGCTAGCACTAACTTTATAGGATGCAGAAATTCTCATTGAAAAAAATCTGCCCTTTGTAGGAGTAAAACTAAAGCCAGAGTCTGAATGAGTACAAGACATGGAAGCTCTCTCCTGTCTAAAAACACTTCATCACCAGTCTGTAAGTGACTCCTGGAATCTGAGCATTAAGGAATACTTTCTTTTAGGAAGGAAGTGAGTTGTTGGCTTTCTGCCATGTTTTTAAAGTAGGTCATGCAAATTAGTTTATTGTATTCTAACATGGTGTCCCTTTGAGACAGGAGGTGGATATAAAGGTAGATGAGGACAGAGTCCTCTGAATTGAAGACTTTTGTATAGCACGTTCTTAGAGGCATATGAACTGGAGCTGGAGAAAGAAGTAATTTTAAAAAAAGGTGGAAAGGCCTTGTAGAAAAGCTGAACCTAATGAATAATCTTGCTTTAAATAGCTTCTGGACAAATGTTATCATTCTGACAAATGACATAATAAATGCTGTTGCTTTTTTTTTTTTTTTTTTTTCAGTACCAGGAATCGAACTCACGACCTTGCGCTTGCCAGGCTGTTAGCTTTTAAACATTACAAAGTGTTTACTATCATATGAATCAAAGGAATTTAAGACAAACATGCTGTTGCTCAAAATTAACTGGAATGAATACTGCCTTCTGCTCTCAATATAAACTTATTTGGTTCTAGCAGATAACATTATGAGATAATCTAATATTTAAAATTTTTGCCGGGCGAGGTGGTGCACGCCTGTAATCCCAGCACTTGGGAGGCTGAGCAGGAGGATTGTTATGAGTTCAAGACCAGCCTGGGCTACAAAGTGAGTTCAAGGCCATCCTGAACTGTAGAGCAACACTGTCTCAAAAAGACAAAAAATAAATAAATAAATAAAATAAAATTTTTGCATAAGTATTTATTATAGGCCCAGTGCTGGAACAAGAATGTGCTACTTGTTTTTAAGCAGTTCATAATCCATAAAATATAAAATATTCCGGATGGTAACAATTTAGGGTATTATGCAGCTATAAAAGAGTAAGGCACCTGGGGGAGGTAGCACGTGCCTGTAATCCCACCAGGGTGGGAGGCCCAGGGAGGACAACTGCAAGTTCAAACCCAGCCTGGGCAATTTAGTTACTTAGTGAGACTCCGTCAAAATTGAAAGGAAGAGAAGGGAGATATAAACACTCATTCACTATACTGTGTACCTTGTGTGGAACGACTTTTAAAAGAGAATCTTTTCTTTTTTGCTGCCCATACATTTATTTTTAATGTTAATTTTCCTTTATTTATTTTCACTTTTTAGTTTTAGTTCTTGACTTCCCCTTTTCCTTTCTTATTTACCCACTCAATGATCCAGATTTCCTGTATCCCTGGGGTGTAGACCCCTCCCTCCCCACAGAGACACGAATTAAAAAGAACTCAGCAAGGACTTTTCCCCCAAACTATAGTCACGGGGACATAGGTTTACTATATAGACATATTTTGTACTAACTGTAGCTTGCATTGACCCAGTCATATAATCAAATAGTAACCATTCAGGGGCTGGGGACTTAGCTCAGCGGCAAAAAGCGCCTGCCTGGCAAGCGCAAGGTCGTGAGTTCGGTTCCCGGTACCGGAGAAAAACCAAACCAAAACAAAACAAAACAAAAAATAGTAACTATTCATATTGTTATTCAGCATGCCAAGAATCAAGCACTACAAAGTAGTGAACACAGGAGAAAACTACACAATCGAACTGGAAAAACCTGTAAGTAGCTATTTCTTTGCTGCTGGTAATATTCTCCTCCTTCTCAAACCCACCTTTATAGAACACAAAGAAGGAGGGAATGCAGACTTCTCTTCTAGGGACACTGTTGGCAAAAACAGGAGAGGAGCCTGCAGGTGGCAGACACCCAGCACAAGCAGTGAGACAGCGACCGGCAGCTGAGGGGCAAAGGGAGCTAATCTGCTTCTAGCAGTGCTTTCTGCTTTTATTTTTCTGCAAGTCTCCTTATTTCTTTGCATCACCAGTAATCAAAGCTACAAGGCTCACTCGTGCTAGACAAGCACTTTGCCATCGAGCTACATCCCCCTCCTTTTTTGAATTTTATTTTCTGAAAGGAGTAAGTTGCCCAGGCTGGCCTGGGATTTGCTATCCTATCTCACTCAACCTCCCAAGTAGCTGAGATCTCAACTGTGTGTGCTGCCTACCGCACCTGCTCGCCGGGAGTCTTCATCAATACATTGTTTGCGGGGGTAGAAAAAATATTATTGGACGTTTGTCTTACATCCTACAATGGTAAGTGTTTAGCTGTGCTTATTTCTAAGGGGAAAAAAATCTGTGACTATGTAGACCAGTGGTGGCGAACCTATGGCACATGTCACTTTTCTTTTAAGACAAAAGATTCTGATGTATGAGTTGTTTTTTTCTAAACTAAAACTTTAGTATTCAGGTTTATTTGCAGTATTGACACTTTGTGATACATTGGTGGGTTTTGGGTTGCAGTTTGGGTACTCATCTCTAAAAGGTTCGCCATCATTGACTTAGCCCATAATACCTACCATGCTGAAGCTGAGTTTTTCCTTTTAAAAACATACCAGTGAGGAAAGCAGTTCTTTGGCTTCAAGCCCACTCCAGCCCTAGCTGACTTATCACTTATCATGACAGAAAAGCGAAACCACCAGATACCATGTTAGGCACAGAGCTAAGTAATTTACATATACAATTTCATGTCTTCCAATACCCTGAGATAGAAATTGTTACGTCTGTGACACAGATGAGAAAACACATTCATACTGGTCTCAGCCAGTAGAAATGTGATGTGGCCAACATTCTAGGATGCTTAAAAGGAATACAGCTCTGATCTTAGGTTGTAGGAACTGCACTTAAATGGAACTGTGGATCTCAAAAGATATTTACATTTTTCTAAAACTGAGCACCTAGTGCCTCTGTCTCTCCAGGCCCATTGTGCTGATCCAACAGAAAGAGGGACAGTGCAATTGAGTTACTTGTATTTCAACCATAACCCTTAGAGAGAAAGATAGCTACTGATGTACATGGCACACACCTTTGCCATAGATCCTCCCAGAGCGTCTCAGTTCTTAGATCCACGCCCACTGTATTTTTAATAGGAGGTGAGAACTGGATCGCTAAAGGAGCATCCAAATAATCAAGTAAATGGAAGTAACGGCCGGGGAGGTATAGTGTATCCGGCATACACTTGTAACTGGTGAACCAGGGCGCATTTTTGTCCTGGCTGTAGAGTCCACAGTGGAAGGAAAACTAAGAGTCTGGGTTCTCATTTCACCTGTCACTCTTCCGAACCCCTCCACCTACCCTTACTCAGTTTGAAGTTTTGTTTCTTTGTTTGTTGAGACAGGGTCTCACTATGTATCCAGGCTGGCCTTGAACTTTTGGCCACTGTGCTTCCTCAGCCTCCTGAGTGCTGGGATTATAGGTGTGCGCCACCGTGCCCGGCTCAGGGTGAAGTTTTATAGTCCTTTTTTCTCTTCAAAATTACTTGGGATATACACATTTAACCAGATTTCCCTTGCATAAAAATAATTGTTTTAGGAGTAGAGACACATACCTGTTACTTCTAGACCAGTAAATTCTTCTGTTAAAATGAGATTAAAATGCTTAACTTCTTTGGCTTTAAGAGCTCTTTGATTTCAGCAGAGGAAACTATGCCTGAGTTAAGCAGAAGTAAGTTTATGATAACAGAGACTATTCTTATAACTAGGCATTCTGAAGGCTAGCAAATCCGCAGAGACTGGAAAGTAGTTACTTCTATTAGTCACCATTTGATTAGGAAATCACTTTCCTGTCTTGCTTCTACATTTGAGCTCCAATTTCAGGAATGGAACATATTCTGTCCTAACGCGAGTCGTTCTTATATCTTATATGGGGGGGGGGGAATCAAAGTACCTAGCTGTTGGTCGCCAGATTTAGCGGGAAAGGGCTAATTCCTCAACAAGGAGTCGACACATGGTTAAGTAGGACCATCGAAATAAATTACTGACATGATTTTCTGGAGGTCAGGACATACACAATAATCTCCTGAAGTGCATTGAGCCTTCTCACTTTCTCTTCACACAGGTCACGCTCCCAAGCCTTTTCAGTGTCATTGATTATTTCGTGAAGGAGACTCGAGGAAACTTACGACCATTTATTTATTCCACTGATGATAACTTCGGTATGTTCTTCACCTCACTGCTGTGCTAAGAAAGACACAACTCAAAAGCTCTGGTATGATTTGTAACACCAGCCAGGCACGAACTGTGGTTTAGCCTTTGAATTTATCCACTGGGGAATCATTTTGTCTCTGAGTCTGAAAATAAAGGAGTACCAATAAATCCTTGTGAATAGAGTATGACTTCCATCTGAGGGATGAAAAACCCTGAGGCGCTGTACAGTTACCTTCATTTCATTATTCTATTTAGCTTTATCGAACAAGTTGAGCTGTAGAAAGGAAGTATCAAGGACGATCTGTTCACATTGTCAATGCTTCAGACAGGATACAGTGAGGACTGAGGGAGAGGCTATGGGGATTGCTTGTTAGGCAACAGATAATCTGAGAGAGAAGTTTTATTCTACTACAAAGGCAGAAGTTAGATGACAGGATAACAAGGAAGTAAGTGGTGAGAACCTACAAAGATGAAAGTTAGGACCAACTACAGAATTCGTGGGCCCTCTGTTCGTAAATCAAGAGGTTCAAAACAGTGACCGCATCCCATTAAGTCAAGCAACTGCACGCTTCACATGCCCGTCAAACTGGCTGTTTGAATTTGTCTTTGGCAGAAGAAGGTAGGTAGGATGTAACAGTTGCTCTTTATTTTTTTCAACAATCCCTATTACATGTGGTTATCGGCTAAGCCCTTATGAACCTAATTCCAAATAACAGAAAACGCAAAAGCGCAGATTCTGAAGACCTAGAGAAGCTCACTGAGTACAGCGTCTACTCTGCAGGAGTCACCTGAACAGCGAGTGTCTCTAAGATGCGACCATTCAACTTGTTTGAAAATTTCTCTGGCTGGGGGTGTAGCTCAGTGATGGAATGTTTGCCTAGTGTGTAGAAGGTCCTGGGTCCAATCCTTAGCACTTCAAAAAAGAAAAAAAAATCTCTCATTTTGGGGGTTGCTTGTTTGTTTGTTGGTTGGTTTCTTTTCTTTTTGGTTGGTTTTTTTTTTTTTTGTGTGTGTGTGTGTAATCCTGGGCATTGAAGCCTGGGCCTTTGCCCTGAGATACATCCACAGCCTTTTTTGAGAGCGGGGTGGGTAACCGGGAAACAAACTGAGGACCTTGCACTTGCCAGGCGGACACTGTGCCAATGAGCTATATCCCCAGCCTGTCCATAGCCATTTTTATTTATTTTACTCAAGACAGTCTTGCTAAGTTACTAAGTTGCCCAGGCTGGGCTTGAACTTGCAATCTTCTTGCTTTGGCCTCCCAGAGTGCTGGGATGATAGGCATACACCACCTTGTCTCGCTCTGGTCAGTTTTTAGTATATTTGCTGCCAAAGCGAGGACTCTGGTCAGTTTTTGTATTAAAGAATTTGTCCTTAATATTAGATCTGAAATATTCCTTCTTTTCATGTTTACACATAAATCTAATTTCCGGCGTTGAAATAACATTTAAAAATGGCCAGTGTCTCTCCTTACTCTTTTCTAACATCTAAATTGCTGGTTCCTATGGCCCTCTATCTCTGACCTCAGTAGATTGTTTAATTTCTTTTTTAAATTTTGACTTTTATTAGTACCTGTCCACAGTACCTAATGATTACATTCGTCATAGAGAGTTAGCACGTGTACATAATGCATCTCAATTCCTTTTACATCCCTTCCCCTCCCGCTCCTTTCATCTCTTGGTCCCCTTCCAATTAGAGAAAGATTTCCCTGTTTCCTATTATCAGTCTTTCATTTTGCACTTTATTTATACTTTGGATTTCTCATGTAAGAGAAGCCATGTAATATTTAAATTTGTGTCTGGTTTATTTCACTTAACATTATGGTCTCAAGATGCATCCATTTTCCTACAAATGGCTACAATGTATCCTTCATGGAATACTGTTCCATTGTACATATTATTATTATTGTTATTACTTTGGTTTTTTTCTGGTACCGGGAATCAAACTCATGACCTTACGCTTGCCAGGCAGGCACTGTGCTGCTGAGTTAAATCCCCAGCCCTTCCATTGTACATAAATACCACATATTCTTTAATCATTCATCTGTTTCTGAACATACAGATAACTTCGAAGATTTAGCTATTATGAGTTGTGCTGCTATAAACATGATTATACATGTATTACTGTAATACGATGTCTTTAATTGTTTTGGGACAATATCCAGAAGGGGAATAGCTGGGTCAAATGGAATTTCTACTTTCAGTGTTTTTGAGGAATCTCTATACTGATTTACATAGTGTTTGTACTAGTTTATGTTCCCACCAACAACGGAGAAGTGTTCCCTTTTCCCTATAGCCTGGCCAGCATCTGTTACTCAATTTCTTGATTATAGCCATTCTTTCTTAAGATGAAACCTCAGTGTTGTTTTCATTTGCATTCCTCTAATGGCCAGAGATGTTGAACATTTTTTCATGTATTTATTGTCCATTTTCTTTTCTCTTGAGAAGTGTCATTTTACTTGCCAATTTTGACTGGATCTTTTTTTGTTGTTGTTTTATTTTGTTTGTTTTTTTCTGGTACTGGGAATTGAACTCACGACCTTGTGCTTGCCAGGCAGGCGCTGTGCTGCTGAGCTAAATCCCCAGCCCTTGACTGGATCTTTTATTTTGGAGGTTGAAGTTTTTTGAATTCTTTATATTTTCTGGGTACTAGTTCTCTGTCCAAGGAGTAGCTGGCAAACTTTCCCCCCTGTTGTGTAGACTGTCTCTTCATCTTGCTGGTTGTGTCCTTTGCTGTGTAGAAGCTTAATTTGACAAAATCTTATTTGTTGATTTGTTATTTCTTGTGCAGCTGGGGTTCTGTTCAGACCGTTCTTGCTTATGCTTATGTCTTCAAAAGTTTTATCTATTTTATCTTCTAGTAAAGTGTTTCCATTTTAATATTTAGATCTTTGATCCATTTTGATTTTAGTTTAGTAAATATGATAAAAGATATGGATCTAGATTCAGTCTTTTTTTTTTTTTTTTGGTTTTTCTCCGGTACCAGGAACCGAACTCACGACCTTGCGCTTGCCAGGGAGGCGCTTTGCCACTGAGCTAAATCCCCAGCCCCTTAGATTCAGTCTTATGCATGTGGATAGCCATGTTTCCCAGCAGCACTAGTAAAAGAAGTTTTCTTTCTTTTAGTATGTTTTGGCTGAAAAAGCAGACGGCTGAATGTGCCTGGAGTTTTCTGCACTCTATATTCTGATCCGTGTCTGCTTTTGCACCATTTTTGTTTTTAAAATCACTATAGCTTTGTAAAATAACTAGAAATCTAGTATTGTGATGCCTTCTCCTTTGCTCTTGTTACCCAGGATTGCCTTTGTTATTGTGGATGTCTTCCATTTCTGTATGAATTTTAGGATTGTTTTTTTCTATTGCTGTGAGGAATGCTCTTGGTATTTGGAATGGGATTGCACTGAATCAGTATGTCAGCTTTGGAAGTATGGCCATTTTGACAACATTGGTTCGGCTTATGCAAGAACAGGAGGTACCTTTTCATTTTCTGAGGCCTTGATATCTTTTTCAAAGAACTGTCTTATTTATTTTTCTCATCACTGAGACACAATACCTGACACCCACAATTTAAAGAGGAAAGGTGTATTTTGGCTCACAGTTTACAGAGGTTTAGCCCACAGTTGGTTGGATCCAAGGCAGGGTGGCATGGCAGAGAATAGCTCATGGCACTGTAGGAAGCAGAAAGAAATCAAGGGAGAGGGAGAAAGATAAACCCTCCCAGACCACATCCCCAGTCACCCACCTCCTCCAACGATGGCCACTTCCCAACATCACATTTATCTATGAGCTCATCAGTAGACTAATCCACTGAGATTGTCATGCCCACTGACCCAATCACCTCCCCAAAGCCCCACCTATGAGTGCATGAGGTTTGGTGGGCATCTAGATATAAACCATAACAAGTAGTATACTTTTCTTGTACTTCATTAGGTTAATTCCTAAGTAATTTTTCTTGAAGCTATTGTGAATAGGGCTATTTTCCTAATTTCTCACTCAATGGGTTGATTATAGGTGTATAGGAACACTATTGATACTTAAGGGTTGGTTTTGTATTTTGCTACCTTGCTGAATTTATTAATTCTAGGAGTCTTCTGGTAGAGTTTTTTTGGGTCTTTGATGTAAAGGACCATGTCATCTATGAAATAGACTTCTTCCTTCCCTATGTGTGTTTTAAATTTCTCCCTCTTGGGGCCTGGGGATTTAGCTCAGCAGCACAGCGCCTGCCTGGCAAGCATAAGGTCATGCGTTTGATTCCCGGTACCAGAAAAAAACCAAAAAAAAACAAAACAAAACAATAATGATAAATTTCTTCCTCTTGGCTGATTGCTTCGGCTAAAGTTTTAAGTACTTTGGTGGACAAAAGTGGACAAAAATAAGACAAAAGTCTTACTTCTGATTTTAGGGGAAAAACATTCAGTTTTCCATTTAATATGATGTTGACGGTTTTTCATAAATCGATTTTATCAGATTGAGATAAAGTCCTTCTACACCTATTTTCTTCAGGCTTTTTTTTTTTATCATAAATGGATATTGGATTTAGTTCAAGGTTTTTTTCTTTTTGCATCAAGATGGTCATGTGATTTTTGTCCTTGCTTCTATTTATGTGATGTATTATGTTTACTGATGTGGGTATACTGAACCAGGTTTGCATTAATGGGATGTAGCCTTCTTGGTTATGATATATGATCTTTTTGATGATTTGCTGCGTTGGTTGCCAGTATTTTGTTGAGGATTTTTCCATCTATGTCATTGAAGAGATTGGGCTTTAGTTTTCGTTTTTAGTTAAGTTCTTGTCTGGTTTTGGAATCAAGGTAATGTTAGCCCCCACGAGTGATTTTGGGGTATTCCTTCTCTTTCAATTTCATGAAAGAACCTGAGGAGTATTGGTGTCAGATCTTCACTGAAGTTCTTTTAAAATTCAGTTGTGACTCCATTGAGTCCTGGGCTATTTTGAGTCATTAAGTTGTTGTTATTATGATTGCCTCCATTTTACTGCCTGTTATTAGATTGTTCAGGGTTTGTGCATCTTCTTGGTTGTTTTGGTAATTCCTATCTATCTAGTAATCCATCCATTTTTTCAGGATTTCCAGTTTACTGGAGAGTGGGTTTCTAAAGATTTAGAAATCATCTGAATTTTTGGCATGTCCATTGTGATTTTGCATTTATTTCTAATTGCATTGATTTTGGTCTTTTCTTTCCTGCTTTTGGTAAGACTGGCTAAGGGTTTGTGTGTTTTGTTTATTAATTTGAAGAACCAGCTATTTGATTAATTCATTCTTTGCATTTTTTTAGTCTCAGTTTCATTAATTTCTGCTCTGGGCTTTACCACAGAAGACAAGGAATACACTAGACAGTTCCTAGACTCCAATGACAGTGACAGTGTTATATACCATAATCTACAGGGACAGAGCAGTCCTAAGAGCTAAGTTTAGAACTGGGAATGCCCACATCAGAAAAACAGTGAGCCAACCAAAACACAACCAAATAAAAACCCTGTAATGGTCATGCTGTATAACAAACCACCCAAAACATGGAGCTTGAATCAACAACCTTTTTATGTTTAGGATTCTGCGGGCTGGCAACTTGGACCAGATTTAGTCGGGCAGTTCTTCTAGTCTCATTTGGTGCCATTTTACAGGATTTTAAGCACTCAGTGGCTTGACTGGTGCTGGACCGTTCCAATGAAGCCAGGTGACATCTGGTGCTGGTTGTCAGCCAACACGGCCGAACCACTCCTCACCTGGCCTCTCCTGAGGTTAGTCCAGGCTTTCCCACATGAGGTCTCAGTGGTATGTTCCTAAGGCTATAAAATCTTAATGCTGAGGATAAATTATGGCACCTTAGGAGCTTTTATTAGTAACAATAGATGTAAACTTAGTAATTCCAAGTGTGGCATTTCTTATACAGATGAGCTACTTTTTAAAAAACTATTTAAATTTATGTACAATAAAATTCACTAATTTTGGTGTATCATCCTATACATTTTGAAAATCAACTTCAAAATCAGTATACACAAAATTCCCTCATGTTCTTCCTTTGTCAGACTTTCTCCCCCAAAACCACCAGTGTGTTCCATATCTATAGTTCTGCCTTTTCCAGAATATAATATATATGGATTCACAGTAAGGAACTTCTGCAGTCTATTTTCCTTCATTCATTATGATGTGCTTGAGATTCATACAACTGTGTGTATTATTAGCTCATTTTTAATTGCTGAATAGTATTTCACTGTATGGAGGTATGTTTGATTATCCATTCAATAATTTAAATTAGGGTTGCTTCTAGTTTGGGAGCAATCATTACACTACATTAATATTCATGTAGAGGTTTTTCTGTGTCATTCAACGGGCTAAAATATCTAGGAATGAGACTACTTGGTCGTATGGTGAATGTACGCTAACTTTGCTAGGAAACGGTTTCTGTTTGTTAAAGGAACTCATTTTTTCTGGCGTTGCCTTTGCACCACTGTTCCTTCCCTTTTGTTCCTGAACCTAGAACCTTGCCCTTGTGATGTGCTCTGCACACCGAGTTAACCTCCCAGCCTTTTTTAAAAACCTAACTGATCATATTTGCATGGATAAATTTCCATTGAGATGTTCCTATCCTTTTGCCAGTATCACACTACCTTTATAACTGTAGCTTTATAGTAGTTACTGAAATCAAGTGAATTACTTTGTCCAAGAGTTTTTAGTTTTAAGATGCCTTTTCTTGACGGAAGTTCTGGAAACAGTAACAGTGGAGCCAGCTGACCAGAGCGAACCCTAAGAAACTATGAGCGCAAATAAGGGTTTTCTGCTTGAAGTTGACTTTCCCAGGTATTCTGTGACAGTGAGGGAAAGCTAGCACGAAAAGTAAAGTTGGCTGGCATGGGGGACAAGAAACCGGAGGGAACGTGGGTGGCACATCCAGTACCACAGCGGCCTGGCTAGAAGAGAAACAGAAGAATCTCGGCAGCGTGACTTCTTTCCCCCCTTTCTCTGCTTCCTGGCTACTGTCTCTGAGAACACCTCAAACACATCTTCAAGTGTGCTCATGCTCTCCTGGTGTGTCTTCATCCAGGAAGCTGACAACCAAGATTAACTGCCATGCTGAAGCACAGCTGCTTGGTCTTTGATGATTTCAACATTCTGGCTATCTTAGCATTGGTATCCTTTATCTTTTCCCTTGAGAAATGGTCACATTTCTCTGACCTTCTACATTTCAAGTTATTTCTGGTTCTTTGTGTATCAAGTAATTTTGGATTGTATCTTGGACATTTTCAGTATTATTACCATGAGCCTTTACATCCTGTTAAAATCTTGGGCATTTTTTTAAAAGCAGGGGCAGGAAATCATCCTAATTAGATTGAACCAGTTTTGTCTCGCTTTCTGTAAGAAGTGGTTTCAAATCGGTTTTCAAAGGCTGTCATATTGCTTTGCGTTTGGTCCCTGAGGGATTATTAGTAGCCCAGCCTTTGGTCATGGTCCGTATCTCAGTTTGTTCTCAGCAACTGTTTTGTATATGTACAGCTCAGTGATGAGCCTACAACTTGCCTTACGTCATACACAGTTAAGGGATTTTCTTTTCCAGCTCTCACTGCTCCAGGATTTCCCTCATTCTTTGCAGGTACCAATGCCTCCCACCCCCGGGGTCCTCTAGCTAGAGAGACAGGGCTTAAGAATTGTGGCTACCCATGCTGTCAAGCAGTTCTGGGAAAGTCGTGCTCCAAAGAAGGAAGAAAAAAGAAACAAGAAAGTAATTCCAAGTCTCCTTGTTTCCCTGAGCCACTTTTCTGGGTTATCTGGCTGGAAAGGACTTTCCGTCGGGATTTCAGGTGCCTATACTTCCACTACCACAGTAACTTGACTAGCCCTTGATGTGTAACCCCCTGCTAGAGCCCTTAGCTTTAATGTGAGTTGGGAATAGGAAGGTGTAGAATAGCTAAGGGTTCAAATCTGGACATGTGGGAAAAGGTTCACAATAGAGTATTAAACAAAAGAAAGTGGAATGTGTCTTTGGTCTTTGCCATCAACGTCAGCATTCAGCTTTCTTGGTCACTAGATGGCAAGGAACGATGGGCCTAGAACAAAGATACTTCTTCCATTTATCTTCCCCAAGTTTGAAATAATTCAAAAACCACTTCAAAATATAGTAGGACAGCTGGGCATGGTGGTGCGTGTCTGTAATCTCAGCACTTGGGAGGCTGAGGCAGGAAGAATCCCGCAAGTTTGAGGCCAGCCTGGGCTACAGAATGAGTTCAAGGCCAGCCTGAACTAGTGAGACCTTGTCTCAAAAAAACAAAAACAAAAACCAAAAGTAGGCCAGGTAAAAAGAACACTAAGCTCAAATGTAAGAAAAAAAGCAATTTCCTAGGGAAATTTTGGTAACCTAGTTAGAAGTACAAGATAAAATAAAAATTAAATGAGTATTGAAACATTACTTAACATTTTAAAACTTTATTAAACAGGGCACTGATGTTCCAAATACAAGCAGGAAAATCAATTACTGCTGAAAATAATCACCTTGTTACATTATATTGGTTCATTGATTAATCAAATTTCTACCTGTAATTTCTAGGTCAAGAACTCAACACTGAAGGAAAAAATGAGAAGTTGAAGAAAAAGCCATACGTTGCATGAAATAAAGTGTGGAAAACTGCCTTCATGTATTTTAGTAATTTGTATTTTCAAAAGGAGTATCTCACTTTTCAGAGAATTACCTCCCATTCCTGATCCTGATTCCCAAGTCATTTATTTGTACCCTAATAAAAAATGTAGCATGCAATTTCCTTTATTGATTAGAATGAAACCAACTCACTGCGAAAGCACAAGCTATGACTATGCTGTCACTTGTTCATCTATGCTTTCTCATGCACTGCTGTACATTAACATATGTTATTTTCTAAAATTTGTTCTTCTAGGCTTCAGTTAAATACATTTCCCCTATACAATTTTCACAGCAGATTTTCTCCTAAATCCAACCAATTAAAAACTCACTAGGAGTTCATTAAAATCTGATCTGATCAATTTATAAAATGTAAGCCACTTATTTACCTACAAACCAAAAATATGGAATGTAAAAGCCCTTTTTCAATAGAACGATTACATGCCATAGTTTGTCACTGAGAATAAATAAAATGTGTTCATTTCTGTCTTCTCCCCTGATGTCATGTTTTTGCTTGTTCAAAACCAACCCATAAATCTGTACGAAGGTGATAAAAGGCTATATACTGCAATCTTTCACAAATATGAACCAGTATGAGCTGATTATCAGTTTCTTAAAAATATAGATTCCTAGACTGGGCATGGTGGCACACACCTGTAATCCGAGAACTTGGGAGGCTGAGGCAGGAGGATTGCTGCAAGTTCAAGTCCAAAGCCAGCCTGAACTGCACAGTAAAGCCCTGTCTCAGAAAAAAGGATTCCTCAGCCCCAGACTATATGTAGAAAAATCAAAGCCTCAGGGATGTTGTTTCAGATTTTTTCTTTAAAAAAACAAAACAAAACAAAACAAAACCTTTTAAATTGATTTTTGTCACACAATTTAGGAATCATTAAGAACTAAGAATCAACTAAAAATTAAAAGCTATGCTTATATTCTAATTAATGGTCCTAATTACTTGGACATTTGGCTTGTTGGGCTTACCTGAAAAAAATGAATGAGTTGGAATAAATTCTTAAGGTCTTCCTAGCTCAAATATATTATAAAAAGGTATCTTTATAAAAAATTAGGGCACAGGCACACACTAAAGACTGAAACAGAGGAGAAGATGGCATCTGTAAGTCAAAGAGAATGGCTTTAGCAAAACAAAACCAAAAAAACCATTTGCCCAAACTGCTACCCTTCTAGGTGTCTTCCAGAAGGAGTTAAAGACATCACATTTGACATATGCACATCCTATTTACAGCAGCAAAATTCAGAACAACTAAATTTTGGAAGCAGCCCAAATGTCCATCAACAGACGAATGGATAACATGTTAATGTGATACCAGCCTGCCATAAGGAAGGATAGACTTCATTTATTGGAAAATGGATATACACTGAAACAGTAGTGTTAAGTGAGATAAATCAGATACACAACTTAAATATTGCGCTATTTCTCTTATATGAGAAATCCTGAGTAAAGATAAAGAGCAAAATAAAAGGTAACAGAAAACAGGGAGATAGATCATTCTCAAAGGGTAAGGAGATCAAGAGATCGGTGGAAGGCATAAGGGATGGTAAGAAGGAACCGGGACATGTTAGCTACAGGTACCAACTCCACACAAGGTATGTGAACATTATGTATGCAAATGTACAAGAAAAGAAATAAAAAGGGAAGGGATCGAAGGATGGGTGGAAGGGAAGGGAGGGAAGGGAAAAGGGATAAAGAAAGGAATTAAGATGTGTTCTGGGCATGTATGAACTTTCCACAAGAAATGTAAGGACTATGTATTACATACACATACTAATAAAATAAATCAACCTAACAGCTTGCTATTTGATTTTTAGCCTCCAGGCCTTAAAAAAAAAATGAATTTTTGTTTTTTTAAGTCCCAAAGTGGATGTTCCAGTACTCCAGCAATATTTAATGGGTGTCTTACTTCTCTCATTGCTGAGACAAAATATCCAACACCCAAAGTTAAAGGAGAAAAGATTTAATGTAGCTCACAGGTTGAAGCTTTCAGTTCATAATTGGCTGGCTCCAAGGCAGAGGGGCATCTCAGAGGAGAAACAGTTCATGGTGGGCAGAAAGCAGCAAAGCTACGAAGTACTGAATTAGTGAAGCAGCAAGTGACAGCGGCAGCCCTTCTTTGTCTGTTTTGGTTACTTTTCTCTCATTGCTGAGACAAAATACCCAATGCCCAAAACTAAGGAAGGGAAGGTTTATTTAGCTCACTGTCTGTGGAGGTTTCAGTCCATACTCTGCTGGCTCATGGCAGAAGGCAACAGTTCATGGTGGCAAGACAGCAAAAGCAACAAGAGCAAAAAGGGAGCAGCAGCAGCAGAGAGCAAGCCTCTTTACCTCCCTTCCACTCTATGCAGGCTACCCACTCCAGGGTGGGTATTGCACTCACACCCATAATCCCAGCATTGAACGTTAGATCAATCAAAAACTCCAGAAGCCCACCCCATGACTGCATAAGGATTTGGGGGACATCCGGACACAAACTGTAACACCGTGCCTTATAGCTTATCCAGGCTACATTTTCTTAGGACAGGTTGTACTCACATCCAGGGTGGGCCTTCCCATTATCCACACCCAGAATTTATGCCAAATCCATCAGTGGGCTGATTTAGCCATTCCACACCCTTGATCCTAGCATTATACACTCTAGATTCAGCCACCTCTGAAAAGCCCCACCTGTGAACTGAGAGGCTTTGGGGGGACATCTAGACAGAAGCCCTAACAATGGACTACCTGGGATGCCTGAAACACACAAGAGTTCCAAGCTTTCCTTGGGTTTACTGAATTAGAATTTCTGTGGGATGGCTCAGAAACCTACCTTTTAGTATGATCCACTAAAAAATAGAGTTTGAGAAGCACTTTTAAAAGATCTACTGTGATAGTAAGACAAAGTACTTGTAGAAAAACATGAAAATGAAGTAAGGTTTTAAATGGAGAAGCAGAGTCAATTAAAGAGAAATCTCAGATGAGAGTTGGGACACAGTCTACTAACATAAGAATTTACTGAACCCTTATACACATTATTGTGTTAACAGATTTAATGTGTTTCCACTGGCTTGAGCCACTGGCGGTACATGCATGACCACTGGGCGGCTTGTACCATGAGTGGTACAAATGAATCACTTTTATCAGTGTTTTTACTAATAAAATTAATGAAGTCTATAAATGGACCAAATCTAATTAGTTGCTTGAATGTGATTACTGACAAATATTAATACTGCTCAAACAAATTAAAATTCATTACAGTAATCAAATAGATTTCATTAATTTAAATTCATGAAGTTTATCAATTATTAATTCTCTAAATTTTAACATGGGAATCTTATAAGTAAGCCATTGCTGGTATATATAATATCCAGTTACAACTGCTGTACCACAAATTAGCTGAATTAACATTTTTTCTGCCATTTTAATGTTTTTCCTTAAGGAACTGGAATAGTATATGATCACATGTGGGCTGCTAACAGTATCTTTCTTTGCATTATTGTAATCAAAGATTTGCCAGGAAGTCGTACAAGTAGTCTAATGAGACAGTCATACATACATCACCAGTGGGTCAGGGTGTATGATGGGTCACTGAATTCGAATCACAGCCGCCCGGCAGCGAGACATAAATTACAGCCCCGTTATGAATGTGTTAGACTAGGAAAGATGCACGTGTTATTTTCGAAGGTCTTCACAACTGAGTTGTTCCAAATATACACAGGAAACAAGTGATTGAAGAGCTTCAATTTCTTACCATTTCAAAATGTTTAGTGTATTCCTGCAATATAAGAAAATACTGTGCGACTGCAGAAAGATTTTAAAAATCAGACTTTAGCTGAGACAACATAGTTGGCTGCAAGGAAGTGGAAGTGAAGGGGATAAGAGACAAAGTCACAGCATGAGTTCTAACAAAGGTGATGAGCCTGCCAGAAGCAGTACGAGGAACAGCTCCACAGCGGTCTCAGTAGCAGGAAAGAAAGTCTCTAAGACCGTGGAAAAAATACCTCCAGTATGCTGAAAGATATTACAGGTCATATCAAAATTCTCTATTTAGCAAAAATGTCTTTGAGAGCTGGAGGTATAGTTAGTTCAGTGGGAGAGCTTGCCTCATACATACAAGGCCTAGAACAGCAAAAAAGGAAAAAAAAGAAGAATGAGGGCAAAATATAGATATTTTCAGAAAACAAATCATGAGTAATTATGCCACTAGTAAACTTTCACACAATGGAATTCTTTGTGTGTGTGTTTTTGAGACAGGGTTTCACTATACAGTTTAGGCTGGCCTTGAACTCACAGAGATCCTCCTGCCTCAGCTTCCCAAGCACTGGGATTACAGGCATGCACCATTAGAAAGGAATTCACAATAGAATTCTCAAGGAAGTATTTCAGATAGAAATTTATCCCATATGTTTCTTAGTCCACTCAGGCTGCTTTAACAAAACATCATAAACTGGCTTATAATAAACATCAGAAATTTATTTCTCACAAGTCAGAGAGGTGGGAGGACCAAGATCAAGGTGCCAGCAGACTTTGGTGCCTGTTGAGAGTCCACTTTTGGGCTCAAAGATGGCATCTTCCCTCTGTATCCTGGTAAGTGTGACAGGGTTCCCTCAGGTCTCCTTTACAAGGGCTCCATACCCTTGACCTGATCACAACCCAAAGAAAGGCCCAATTACTAACAGCATCACCACCTTGGAGGTTACACTTTCAATACATGAATTTTTGGGAGACACATATGCTCAAATGATAGCAGTTAGGTTTAGATACAAAAAGAATAAAGAACAGAGACTGCCTTTATGGTGTAAAAATACAAATACTAAACAGAAGATCTCACAGCATTAAACACATTCAGTACATGGCCTCAGAATTAAAATACAGAAAAGGAAACACAGCAGTCGTATGTAAACTGGGAATTATACAGTTCTCTACAGTTAGACGTCTTGTGTAGTAACTCCAAATTAGTCATGGTTATTAATTTGGTGGGTCAGAACTCATTACGCCACATATGGGTGAAAATGGCTGGTCCCTGTTCCACAAAGTCTAGGACCTGGAATCATCTGAAGTCTTGATTCTCCCTACAAAATATGCTGCTTTCAAATGCATAAAGATTATTACAAAATATTTACCACGTTTTCAGTTAGAAGTGAGTCAAATTAGTGTCAAAAGATTAACATTAGGAAGGTCATTTTTTTATCTGATCAAAATTCAATTACAATGAAAATCAAACTAAAAATGATCACTAGAGAAACTATGTATTTGGAAATGATATGTGAGGGGTGATCAAAATATATAATAAATTTTTAAATTAAAAAAATGATTATATAGCTAAGTCTTGGAAACAACCCAAATGTCCATCAATCAAGGAATATCTGGATAAGAAGAAGTGGTATTTTTATACAGTGGAATACCACTCAGCCATAAAGAAAGATAAACCGGAGTCTTTCATAGGTAGATGAGTACAACTTGAGAACATATTCTTAAGTGAAATAAACCAGACTCTCATGT